ACGCAGTCACAATATGAACCCCACCTAGTATCATTTGGTAAAAGGAGCATCAAGCAGTTTTTTTTCACTTGCCCATCCATGTGCTTGATGTACATTTCTAAAATATTTGTTAACTTCCAAGCAGTGTCCAATGATAGTGTCAGGAGATAATTCTTTTTCAACCAAATTTTAAAAAAACAATTTGTGAAAAAGCCCACCAAATGGGTTTTTTCAAGGTGGGCCCACCCAATAAAACCTTGGCGGGTTTTTTCAAAGTGGACTTACTTGGCGAACCCTGGTCATATTGCTTTTTACTAGTTCAACTTTTTTTATTAGAGCAACTTCTTTTAGTTTTTCTTTAATATCCATAAATTTGGGAAAGATCTGGGAAATTGGTAATAACTGGCTACGGTGGTATTGTAATTTTGAATTTTGTGTTAAGAAAGATCTTAAAATATTTTAATGTATAATGTGAGGCTAGTTGCCAGTTGGAAAATAAGATCATCTTCATTTGTTCTCATGCAATTCCATACTGTTGTATAAATGCTTATCCAAACTCAAATGCCTTGATTTCCATAAGAGGCACGAAACATAGTTTCCTCACTAATATTTTCTTTCAGTCCATCAATCCCCGTAACAAACTTGATTAGCATCATTGCTTTCTTGTAAGCTTTTGTTTTATTGTCTTAAATAGTTTTGTTTGGGAAAAACATGAGATTGAAGATGCTGAATTGATTTTTTTTAACTTTGCCTTTCAGTTTTTTTAAAAATTTGTGTTTGGTTTTTTGTTACCATTTAAATGATTATTTCTATTTATTCTACTGATACTGTTATATGGTTCTTGATGAGAATAATCTGAATTGTTAGCTATATATGTTTGAATTTTACCTGTTTGATATGAGGCATTAACTCTGAGTTTTATTGATTTTGAAATATCAGGAAAAACTTTCTATTTTGAAGCAAGCATAAAACACAGAAAATTAAATTAATTGTTTAACAAATCAATAAATTATTTTTTTATATATTTCAGTAGAACAAATTATATGTTTTTTTAGTTTGCCCTTTGTCTTTTTTGAAAGTAGTCTGGCATATGTCTGCTGTTCTAAAAAATGTCCTTATTTTTTCTTTAATTTTTCTTTAGCTCACTATAAAACCTGTATTGTATGACATATTCTGTTTTCCTATGTTTTAATTTATTTTTTCTCAAGTGCAGTCTCACTTTTCAAGTCAAGATCATTATAAATAAAATACACCGTTCATATCGTTATAAATAAAATATTAAGAAACTACTCCAACATAAAATTATAATAACCATGTATTTTACTAGTAAAATAAGCTTATTTTGCAAAAAATATCGACCTTCAAAAGAAAAGTTTATTTGAAAATTGACTAACCCTAAATTTTTATTATAAAAATTTTTTGTTAGACTTCTAAACTTATAAGTCCGTATTCAAATACTAACTAAATGTATAATTTAAAATGGATAACTTTTATTTAGTTAAACCATTTAAATGTTTGGCATATGTTTATTTTGTACTAAATTAAAGTACATCAAAATCAGGGGAGCTTCTTAAAAAAAAATAAACTAATAAAGTATGTATGCATAGTGCTCAGTGAAGTTAAAGTATCTATGCACCCTATTAACTTCCAAACAGCTGCAGCTATTTTAAAATGTCTGCAGCTATTAAAGCGTCTAGGTGTTGTAATGATTATATTACTTAGAATGCCAACTGGAAGAAAGTTGGGGATTTGTGTTCCTATCTTGACAAGATGTGGGATCTATCCTTATCAGATATGGGGAAAAGTAATGATGATGATAATAATTTTGAAATTTTGAGTTCTTTGTTTGAAACTAGTTATTTTATCAGGATCATGTAAGGTCTTTGAAAATTATTTCACATTTTGTAAATGTATTTTTTTACACACTTATTTCTTTTCTCTTTTATTTTCTTATTACTTCTAAATTTTAAAATCTTGGTTTTTGGGTCTTGCCTTTTTTGATATTACGTAAAAAAAAAGCACATGAAAAAATACATAACTTCGCTTGACAGCTAAGTGTTGAAAAGTGCAAATTAAAATACAAAGCTTTTAAAGCTCTTGTCTTTTGAGAGAAATTATTATTTCATCATTGACTATTTGAATGTCTTCAAATTCTGTTCTGGCGCCATCTACTTGGTTCAGATTTAAAAACAACATTTTTAATTATTTATTTTCTTTTGATCATGTTCAATTTAGAATAAAGGAAACTTATGAAACATTACCTCACTTGCCCAGACAGCAGCGTCTGATGCTTAAATATTTATCAGTCTAAATTTGTATTGTTTTTTTCTTCATTAAATCATATTAACTACTAAACTTTTGGTTCTATTGACATGAACAAATTCATCAGAAACTACACCTCCCTGTCTAGATAGCATAGTTTAAGTTTTGTACCACTCTGACCTCTTCTGTAAATTCAAGATAGCTTCAAAAGCTCACATTGAACTTAAAATATCTACATTTTTCTATAACTTTTGAAACAATTAACAGCTTTACTCTAAATATTTTCATGTTCACTTATTTTGGTAGAATTATTTTAGAAATTTTTTTCCAATTTTAAGTAATAAAGACTCCTATTTTTACTAGTCCCATAGCTTTGTGATTAACGGAGTAAATATGATGTAAGTACTCATTTTTCCACACATAAAAGTTATTTTAAATTTCAATAACGTCGCTAGGAAATAAAATTATGTATATATGATATTGGATCATTAAATCAAGCATCAGCATTGGCACAACAGCTCTTTGTGAGCCTGGGCCTTACTCAGAAGCTTTTCCCATTCTGCCCTTCTCCCAGCAATTGATTTCCAGTTCTTTACTTTTAGGATGGCAAAATCTTCATCTACACCATCTTTCTATCTCTTTTTGGGCCTTCCTCTTGGCCTTTTATTGGAGGGGGTTGCAATAAAAACTCTTTATGCTGTACGTTCTGGGCTCATTCTCACTACATGCCCAGCCCATCTCATTCTACTTAGTTTAATAGATTTAATGATATCATCACTATTAAGGATCTTATATATTTCAAAATTATATCTTTTTCTCCAGTTGTTGTTTTCGAGGATAGCGCCAAAGATGGTTCGTAGGACCTTCCTTTGGAAGGTTGCTAATAACTTCTCTTCCCTTTTTGTTAAAGTCCATGTCTCTGAAGCATAAGTCAAAACTGACCTGATTAATACCTTATAAGTAAAGTAAAATCTTCGTCTTTCTTTTTCTTAAGTGAGATTTCAATAATGATATTAAACCCTAGAAACAGCGATTGACTGTGATTTTTTTTTTTTCTGATTTCAGGATTAATGTCGTTTTGATGGTTTATTTCTGAACCTAGGTAAGTAAATTCTTTTACAGATTCAAATTTAAAGGAATCTATTTCAAACAATTTAGGGATGGTTTCAATTGTACCACAATACATATATTTTGTTTTCTCCACATTCACTCTTAAGTTCATTTTTCTAGCTGATTTTTCCACTGCCAAAAATACCACTGCTTTTGATTTAATATTATCCGCTCTTCACCTTTTAGGACTCAATCCTAATGGTTCAAGGGTGATTAATTAGTGCAGACTGTATGAACATACTTTTTTTGTTGATGGTTTTGAATTTCAGACTCCTAGAATATAGAATCTAGCGGTATTCTGGAAAATATAGTGCCAATACTCTGGTCAAGAGACCCGTCCAAAGTTTAAACCCCTTAATGTTAATTTTACCTTTTGTGTATTTCACCTTCAGTCTGAGAACTTTTTAAGCGAATTGAAAAGTTTTTGCTTATAATTATTAAATTTTTTTTAAAGATTCCATGTAAAATATAGCTTTTAGTATGCATATATTATTTTTTTTATTTAATAGTAATAGTCAAAAAAACTATTGAATTGTAAAATATCTAAATTTTTAGATCATTTTAAAAAATGCAGTTGTAAATTTCGAAATGCAAAATTTTAGCGAAATCATTCAAATAGTTTCTGAAAAATCAAATTTTGACGAAGATTTATTTTTAAAATGTAATTTTTCTAGAAAGTATTCGATCAATTTTGCTCAATTTTTTTTTCCAGGCAAAACTACAATCTATCTTTAAAATAATGTTAAAATTGTATACCATACGATTAAATTTTTTTTACTACTAAATAAAATAATAAAAAATAGTGAGTACTCACTAAAAATATTTGTTGCATGGAATTATCTTTGGCTAAACTAAGTTAATAATTATAAGTAAAATTCTTCAATTTGCTTAAATATTTTTCGAGATATGGCAAAATACGCTAAAAGTAAAATTAACATTAAAGGGTCAAAACTATTGAGGCCATATTTCCCAGACTGCTGCTACTCCTATATTTTAAGTGTCAGAAATTCAAATCCATTAAGTTTAGTTCTAGAACTGATCATTAAATCAAAAGTTATTTAAGGTGGTCCATTTACTTTTTTGTGCACTGTATATATTCATCATCTTTGTAGTTATTAAAATAAAATAAAATAGCCTAACAATCCCTGAAGCATTATTTTATATAAATTTAATGGTAATAAGATACAAATCTTTCAGTCTATAGAACTAAGCAGCACTTGTTTTTGTAAGTTCTGGAAATAACTCTTAGATTACCTCTGAATTTGAGAATCTGGATACTGTTAAAATTATATGACTAAACAAAGTTTTAAAACTAAAAATAGTATATTTTGTAATTTTTTTGGGATAAAATTCACTTTTAATGTACTTAAATGAAGAAAATTATTATTATTTTTCTTTTTAAAAATAGTCTGGTATATAAATACTCTACAAAAGAATTGTTCTGAATTTTTTTCTTTGGTTATCACAAGGACAGAACAACTGTTAGTTTACAATTTTTGCCATAGATAAGACCTTTCAAATAATTATACTTAGTGAGTATTTATTAATTTTTATTATATTATTCAATAATAATCAAAAAAAATTTTAACAGTAAGACATACAATTTTTTATATCGTTTTTAAGAATGTATTTCTGCATTACAAATTACATATTCCTGAGAAATCAAATTTTAAAAATACAAAGTTTTCAAAACATGATTTCTCGGAAACCATTGGACCGATATAACTGAATTGTTGTACTTAGCCCTTTAAAATTACATTCTTTAAAATAATGCAAATAACTGCATACCTTACAATTCAAAAGTTTTTTTTACTATTAAATAAAATAATAAAAAATAATAAATACTCACTAAAATTTATATTTTGCATGGTATTATGTGTGTCTAAACCGATTTTATAATTGTGTCCAAGATTTTTTTTAATTCGCACAAAAATTTCTGGTCATATGGAGAAATATGCAAAACGTAAAATGAACATTAAGGATCCAAGCTTTTATCATCATATTTCCCAGATAGCGAGAAATATTCCCCTTCATTTTGAGATCAGTAATTCGAATTCATTAGAATAAGGGTGTGTTTGTTCAGAGAAAGTACGTTTTTGTGTCTGATTTCGCAACTTAAAATATCATCTGCACAAATTAATTAGCATATTTGAGGTCACCCACTCAAACCATTAAGATTGAGTCCTCGAACGTGAAAATCCGATCATTAGATCAAATATTATTCAAGGTGCTTTGTTTATTGATTTGCGCCCTGCAGATTAGGTAGTTTTTCTATGGATTTTTAAATTTTATGGCATTTAAAATTTTAACTTTTATGTTTGAGGCACCCAGGCTACAGCTTTTTTTTCTTTTTCTGTGTAAAAGAGTTTCCAAAAACACTCTTAATCTCGCAGGGCGAGAGTTTTTTATTTGTAGACAAATAATTGTCTGAAAAACTTAGTTTAAAAAATTATTTTGGCAATCATTCCTTGTTCAGGAAGATCTTTTGCAGTTAAGAAATAAAAAATCAGACAGAGATGTATGCACTATTGAAAAGCAGCAATTATTGAAAAGATCACTAGTGACATGCCCGGAAAATGGTTTTTGAAACTTAGCATACATTTTTAATCACATGTAATTTTTAAAATCATTCATTCTAAAACATTAAAAATGTTTAAATTTTTAANAAAAGATCACTAGTGACATGCCAGGAAAATGGTTTTTGAAACTTTGCATACATTTTTAATCACATGTAATTTTTAAAATCATTCATTCTAAAACATTAAAAAATGTTTAAATTTTTAAACGTGTAAACTCATTTTAAAATGTTAACAATAATGGTATTAATTCAAAGTTTAATAAAATTTATAATTTATTGTATGATATTAGAGGTCTGTGGCAATCACACTAAATTGTCGCATTTGGTTATAATCATCCACAAGGAATGTTTAAAAGTTTTAGAGAAAACGTAACCTTTGAAACATGTCAAACAGAGAGGTGAGAAATAACACATCAAAGAGGGAGATGAAAAAAATTTTCAATATCTTCATCCATATTTTCCTCCTTTTTATTTTGCTGTCCTCACTCAAAGTTATTATCATTATGAAATCGCCCTCCCCCTATTATCTTATTACACTTTTTGGAAAGGAAAATTCATTAATCTAAAAATAGATTTGCACTACAAAATCTGCATATGATGTCTAATTTACTGCATATTATAAAATCACTGAAATTTCGAATGTTTCTTGGTCTTAATTTCACTATAAATTATGTTTGGGGTTACTGAGGCGTTATTTTAGGGTAGCTTAGGCAGAGTAACTTTGATTAGCACTTTGCCAAAACAAATTTCCTTATCTACTTAGTGGGGAAAACAGTGGAAAGAAACGAAGGTTACCCACAAGATAGCCATATCTGAAACAGATGGAGATTCATCGCTTTCGATTAATGTCAAGTGAAGAAAGTGAAAAGCTTGATGTACAACAAGCAGTAGTGCTTAGAAGGTAGAAGTGCTGAAATACCTTTAGTAAAATATCACATTAATTACTAAGGATGCTTTTGTTTCTTAAAAGAAAATATTTAATGGTTTTAAGAATTGCTACCAAATTTTTTTTTAATACAGTCGAACCTCATTCACGCAAAATTGGTGGGAGTATCATAATTATTTATGTTAACCAGGTTTCATCTTATCAGATACATTATGAAAGCAATTTATTACATACGATTAATACATATCATGTACTACTTTTATATACCTAACAAATTAAAATAAGCTTAAAAATTTTAATAACTTTATTTAACTATTTTATTTATTTACCCATCTGCTACTCCTAACAAACGTGGATAATAGAAATAGCATTCTTCAAAATGATTAATTGGCACATTATGCACATGCTTCTTATCTGTGTTGTGACCTTTCATGTAAAGCGATAATCAGCTTGAAATTTTCTTGTTAAATATGTAAAATACAGTAATAATTGATTGCTGACTCACGGGACAAAACATATATTTCATGTAAAGCTATATTTCACTCTAAGTGATTTCACATTAATGAGGTTTTGACCGTATTTCCTTTTTTTTTTCATATGGAAAAAACTTTGATATTTTTACTTTTTTTGTACATGTGGGAAATGATAAACACAAAGAAATAAAAGATATTGTAATCAACATATTTGCAACTAACTTCATAACTACCCTTGGAAATTCTCTTGAGTTCTATTTTAGAACAGAGAATTCCTTTTTTGATTCTAGTTATTGTTTTACGTTCTGCCTGGCAATTTATTAGTGTCACGATGTCTTATAGTAACTGTTGCTTGTCTTGATGGTATTTCTTGATTTTATTCATTAAGTATTATCAAAAATATATTGTAACTGGTTTTATATATTTACTTATATATTATTTTCAAAACTTATTTTTAATTAGTCTGAACAATTTCAAGAAGATTTGTTCCTGACACTGTTGCACCTACTCCATCACTTACAGCTAAAGAATGGCTGAATGGAAAAAAATGGAAATCTTCTATGAAGGTAAAGTAATAGTCATTGTATGTTTTGTAATAACTCTAGATTTAAAAGAAAAATGCATTGCTGCCAGCTTTCACGAGAAAAATTGGTGGATTCCTAACATTTGGGGAAATCTTCTACACTCATAGAAAATATTCAAGTTTGACAAATTTTTGAATTTTTTTTTTTTAACAATATTAAGCACTTTTACATTTTTGCAATTTTTTTTAAACATTACTGCAAATACTATGTTACATTTTCATTCAGTTGAGTTTTAGTAAACGTTTTAACTGTGATTTTTATTTAATCAAGCATTCAGATAAATTTTTGAAATAACAGATTTAAAATGCCACTTCATTAGACTAAATGAATTTTTTGTTTCTTCTAAGAGAAAATTGTCTGCATGTATGTGGTGTATATAAAATCTTAGTGCTGTTATAATTTTAATATTGTCAGAATATTAAACTCATTTTTGGTTTACTTTGAAATAACAAGGAAAAGCTCCTAGCTACTCCAAAATGTTTCCTTTAATGTCATTTATTGTGTGCCGTCTAAAAAAGTTTTGATTTTGTTAAAAAAAAAAATTCTGGTCGGCTGGTCAATACAAATTCTGCATCCGACTTACACCGACCACAGTACTGACGTAAAATATCCTCTGTGACCTTGTTTTTCTCTCCATGTAACGCAAGTGCGGATTCCACCAGAAAGTAAAGGCATATTTCTATCAATGCTTGATCCAGGAGTTCCCTTGTAATGGGTTCAAAACTACAAGACTTCAGAGATGAACATTAGTAAAACCCGGAAAATTGGGTCAGCTGTTCAATGCAGGGTTATAAATCATCTAAATCACTGTAGTCACTAAATCAAATTATTCCTTGCATAAATAGATTTTATTTTCAGACACATTAATAGAAGTGCCTATGCTAAATGGTAATTTATGATGATATTTAAATTTTAAAAAAAATTTAAATTAATATTATTTATTCTTCTTGAGTTTATTTATTTTTTTATCTTTAGGCAATAAGTTTGGTCTGGAATGGTTTACTCCAACCTGTGAAGTTAACTTTTGTGGTCATGCAACTCTGGCATCTTCTGCCGTTTTATTCTTTGCTTTAAGTATATCAATTTTATTCCTATTTTTTTTTACATGAAAGTTTAAATATTTTTTTTCTTCTAA